AAGGGGGGGGGGGGGAAAGAGCAAATCCTTGATCTGTAAAAAGGATCATACAAACAAGTAAATGAAATATTTCGTTAATGAAATACCAAGTGAAAATAATTAATCACGGTACAGTGAGGGGAAGGGGGATTAATTACTGAGGAAAACTTGGTTTGTAAAATATCAACCGAAAGCAATTGCAGTATCTAGCGCTAACTGGGGACCTTTTAGACTCTTAGTCGACCAAATTTAGGCCTGAATGATGCAACAGCTGCTATAATAGAGACAGAACTAGGTTCGAGTGTGTGAGAAGTGTTGTTGCTGCACGATAAATTTACCACCGTGGAATTTTGGTGTGCCGGCTTGAGTTCCGATCATTTGGGGAAGTCAGTGAATATTTGTTTCTCAAGTAAAAATTATTTGTATAGTGGGTCATAGTGTCGTTTGATGCGTGTGCTATGTGGACAAATTAGATAACCAAATGTTTATGGCATACTTGAGGCGGAGCAAGCAAACAGCTGGCTAATAGTATGCAATGACGACTCTGATAATTTGTCGAGCAAGACGCCTCGAATATCGAACGGGGCAAATAGAATTTCAGTGGTGAGAATCAATTTGTCGATTACCGATGACCCTTAAACAAAGGAAGTGGGTCTCTCCATCCTCACACCGAAACTACTCCAAAACCCTCTCGACCCTCACCCCGACACGTTAGCGGTGAATGATTTTTACATACACACTTCACCTTTTCTGTCTATTCACCTTGTGCTTGTTGAAAAATCTGTAATTTTTTTGAATAAAGAGAAAGTTCTTGCTGAAGAATTAGCAAATTGCTCTAAGTACAGCACCGTCTTGATAACCTACGCCATATTTTCTGTGACACAGGAAAATCGCTTTCAGCACTATTCAAATAAATTTTGTTTCTAAAAAATTTTGCTGTTTCCTGCTACAACCAGCTTATTAAAAAGGCGTGTACTCGATACGAAAGATGCCACTGGGCAGGACTCGAATTATACAGGCATCAAAATTATCTCATTCACAATCATGAAATTTTTTAAAATGTTGTCGCAAACTTCTTGCGCAACTTAATGTTCCGGACATATTAGAAGGAAGACGTAGAGGAAGGGCTCCTTCAAGTGTTTGCCATTTCTCCAGCAATCAATATCACACATAGGAACAATCCCAAAAATAATAAATTAAGTTCAGTCAAACTTTGAGTATTCACAACACAAATAGCTGCCCAGCAACAACAACAACAACGATAAAAGCAAGCATCACAGTGTAGACTCGTTTGCCGCAGTTGAGTTATGGCCAAGAAGCTGCCTTTGCACTAGTGCCCGATAAAGACCTTCTTGAGCCAGCAGTTCATCGTGGCGTCCTTGCTAAAATATAGTATTATTCAGAAACTAACAAGTCGTACAATTCCGCACTAAATGATCACGACAACTACAGAAAAATAGGAAAAATGCGAAAATTTTTCTGACGAATGTTGTTCTTTGGTTCCCCATGACAGCAGTCGAGTATTTCACTGTTCACGGAATTTATGCCAAACCGTTTTGTCGACAAGGCAACATGATTATGAAGGAATTAACTTGACATTCAAGTCGATGATACAACTAACACACTTCCAGGGATCAGAGAAAATTTGGACTTTAAAAATTCCCTAAATTCTTTCGCAGGAGCAACACGAAGGGAGTTTATCAAGATAAACTGAGCGATACCTGCACAACGCGACCCTGGTCGATGACAATTATTCGATCGGCTTTTTCCACAGTGCTCAGTCGATGGGCTATCACAATTACCGTTTTATCTTTTGCGCATCGTGCTATGGCTTCCTGCACCACGTGTTCGCTTGCGGCGTCCAATGCCGAAGTCGCTTCGTCTAAAATGAGTATCGCCGGACGACGTACCAGGGCTCGTGCAATTGCTATACGTTGCTTTTGTCCGCCTGTAACACAGAAAGAATTTAAAACACTTATGTAAAACACGGGTGTTTAACGAGCAACCACTCCCTTTGTTAACTTTTTGCCCAGTAATGCCAAACAGAATGCCAGTTGTTAGCCTTTATTCATAAATGTGAAAAAACCGGTTTTTAGTGGGTTTGTCGTAAAACCGCAAACAAACGAAATTATTTAACTGGCACATGGGGTATGAGCAGTATTATTCATGAGACTAAAAGATTAATAACTAAACTGCATGTAGTATCTACGAACTGTGCATGAAACACATTGACAGGCAAGCAACTGTGCAATTTGTGGTGTAATATCATATTCAGTGCCGAGGGGTCGCTGGAGGGGGAAACCAGACTCATTCGATTAACCCTTTTACTGGCATAACTGATGATTTGATTTTAGGCAATCCTTCGAAGATTTATACTTATACCAATAGCTAACTCGAAGGTGACTGTTATTAGAATGCACTACTGACTGGGTTGATTTCCTGGTGCCTCCAATCACTTACGAGGATGATTTTTGACTAACTATGAATAGTATAAATCTACATATAATTATAAATCATATCTGAAGCCCTACAAAATATACTTATGAATTGGTCGAACGAAGATCATAAATATGCAAATTTATCGCACTGTTACCGGCGTAATTTCAATGGCAAATTTGCTATTGAGATGCTTGGTTACCTGACAGCTGAACACCTTTTTCGCCACAGTTCGTGTCATACTGCTGCTCGGTTTCCATTATGAAATCATGCACATTTGCCATCTGAGCAGCACTGAGCATGTCTTCTTCAGTAGCCCAATCACAACCGTATAAAATGTTGTAACGCGCCGAACCATCGTATAGCACAGGTTCCTGTGCAACCAAAGCTATCTAAAATCGATGTCAAG